ATATATATATATATATATATATATATATATATATATATATATATATATATATATATATATATATATATATATATATATATATATATATATATATATATATATATATATATATATATATATATATATATATATATATATATATATATATATATATATATATATATATATATATATATATATATATATATATATATATCATTATATATTTGCTCGATTTTTTTTTTTCGAATTTTTTTTTTTTCGGTTTCACAGACAGGAGTAGCGGTTGGAGTTGAGATTGATGATAAATTACCAGAAGGTGATAAAAATATTGACTATTTCGGACCGAATTTCAAACTTCACGAGCCTCAACGTATCATGGACAATAAAAATTCTCGTGAAATGATCGATAAACTAAGAGTGAGAATCCTCGATAATCTCTCTAGACTCGAGCATGCTCCTAGTGTACAGTTTCAAGACAGGCCACCGGAAACTCGGTTACCGGAGGTTCGTCATTACGAGAATATTATTTTCTTCATTAATTTTTTTTGAAATTTATTTCCGTAAAACTCACAAAATTTTAACGAAATTTAGCCCGTCGTAAATCGTTGCCGGAGGAAGATGGCCAAGGCGAAGATGCTATAGATGCTGACATGGACAACAGCAGGTGTGATTTAATTTGAATTTGCTCGCTATTTAAATTAATTAATTAATTATGTAATTCATATTGTTTATAACTTTATATTGATGCAGCAACTCTACTGAGGGTAGCGTAAAGATGGAATATGTGGAATATTCGGAGGGAGAAAGATGCGTGTTTTATTATGATGAATGAGAAATTAAAGATTCTTATTTCCAATAATTTTTGTTAGTAGTTTGCAAATTAATTCATCTACAAAAATGCATTACTATACCAATTGTAACCTTTCTCGTTTGATTGCACCTGTCAACTCCAATAATAACAATTCATAATATAACAGGGGAGTTAGATGTTACGTTGGTGGGTTTGAACTGTATATTTGATTAAATAATTGGGCTTGTCTACAGTGAGATTTCAGCAATACGATTTATATGAGATATCCCCTCCAAACAGTGACACGTGTCCTAGCAACACAACCTATGTTTTTCTCATTTATGTATTGTCGTAAATATCATTTGGGCAATTATTATTTTACAAAAATCGGCAATTATAAATTCCTAACGAAATGTCAATTTTACCCTTTATATTTTTTATACAATTTTAATTTATTTATTATTTTTTTTCAAAGCCCATAATACCCTTATACACAAACGTAATAAAAAAACTAATAAATATTATTTCCTAATCTCTCTCCAAATTAAATACGTTCTCCATCTACATCTTCGAAATCTGGGCTTACGGTATCACGATCAATTAAGTTCTTCATCATTTTTTTAGATCCATTAATTTATTCTTACTGTGCTACAAATTTGAAGTGGTGCATCGTTACACTATTTCTTCAGAATAAGCTTATTCAAGGATGTCTAATTCCAAAGAATTAGGTATGCTACTTGTATTTCAATAATTAGGGTTTTTGTCGAAATCCTTAACATTTTTCTTACTTTAATCCCATATTTTTATTCTAATAAAGATCGAAGGTCTTCAAATTGTGATTCACAAAGGAATCTTGAAGACGAAAACGAAAGTGTTATGAATTTCAATTTACAAGGCAACACCGGCGACATTGACGAGAACGATGATCGTCTGCAATAAATGAAACGCATGATGTCATTAACCTTTACTGATATACATGAAGCCGATCAATATTATTTTAGGTATGGTCAGTTAACATGATTTGACGTGCACATGCACTCTTTGAAAAAGAAAAACAAAGATTCAAACATCATTATGAATAGGGTTTGGGTTTGCTCTCGAGCTGGGTATCGTGACACACACATTAAGGATTATGACCGATTGCGTGCACCGAAAGGCGAGATGCGGTGTGGATGCCCTGCCAAATTCCGTATTGCACTTGATCATTCTACCGGAAGATATAGAGTGACAACATTCAATCCCGATCACAGTCACCGCCTTGAAACTCCCGATACGAGTCATATTCTATGTTGCAATAGGTAATCTAATCGTTCTAGTTTTACTTTTACATTGAGATCCATTCATAATGTTATGATATATTTTTTTTCTGCATCAAACTTGCACCGTAAACTGAATCCACTGTATACTTATATGATTTCATATTGCGTGCAGATTATTGAGCAAAGACACAAAATACGTGTTGGAATTAATGACTGATGTTGGGTTGAAAACCAGTCATTTTATTGATTTTTTAGATAAAGCATGTGCAGGGAGTGAAACACGATTATTTAATCGGAAGGACGCTACAACTACCTAAATGGGGAAAGGTTGAAAATGATTGAAGGGGAAGATGCGAACACTACTTAACGGCATGAATGTAGAAGATAAATTAATTACGTACCTGCATAGTGTCGACGCAAACAATGCACTTACAAGAATTTTTTGGTGTGACGGGATTTTGAGAGCCGAGTATGAATAGTTTGGTGATATTATTCTATTTGATAGCACCTACAAGACCAACATGTATAGGTTTCCAGTAGTGTTGTTATCTGGAGTCAACTCTCATTTGTGCACATATATTTTCGGAGTTGCTATTATGAACAAGGAGACGACTCAACAATACACCTAATTGCTACAAACGTTTCAAAAATTCATGAAAGGAAAAGCACCCCTAGCTGTTTTGACGGACCAGGACGCAACAATGTGCGCAGTCATTAGGGATGTGTTTCCTGAAGCAACTCATCGTCTTTGTTGCTGGCATATTTCACGTAATGCCGAAATAAATATAAAAATTCCAGGATTCTCAACATGTTTTTCCAAGCTAATGAAAATGACATGATATATGGCCCAATTCGAAGCTAATGGTCTACATTGATTGCTAAATTTGGTGTTGTCGATAATCCATGGATACATGACATATACTCAAAACGTCATTTATGGGCAGAAGCATTTTTTCGAGGCAAGTTCTTTTCAATGATGAGGAGCACGCAACGTGCAAAGTCAATGTATGCTTCACTGAAACAGAAAGTGCGTTCTGGTTTTAGCCTTACAGATTTGTTTAGGCAGTACAACAATAGTTTCTTAAAAATGATTCGAAAGAATTTCACGTACTGTAGAAGAAATCTGAGAATCCACTAAGAGAAATGAAGCGTACATGCTTATTTATTGGTCTTGAGAACCATGCCGGTCGCATATACTAGAGCCATATTCGATTATATACAAAGGAGGAGGAGGCAAACATAATTATACTCAACAAGAGTGTACTTGTTAATCGGCGGCACAAATTCATTTTTGAAGACCATAGCAAGGCAACGCCTCGTACATTTACTACCGTAATCGATTTGAACAACGAAGAATTCCAATGCGAATGTAAAAAGCTCGAATCTGATGGCATCCCTTGTCGCCATTTGGTATGTGGTTTTAAGAATTTGACACTTACTAAATTTCCTACTAAGAGTATCCATCATCGGTAGTTTGTTGACGTTGGCAAGAACCTCACATCTCGTTTCTCATACTTGGATGCTAAAATAAAAATTGACGGCAAAGTATTGAAGAAGGCTTTGGTTGATGATACTGGTGGAGATGATGATAATGAAGAAACTGGTGATGATGATAAGGAACCAATTCAAAATGTCAAACACGTCCCAAATGTCGGTGATACCGCTAAAATTGTTCCTAAGGGCGGATCCAGAGCGAAGAAGTATTCATGCGAATTATGCAGGTTGGTGTATTTTTAATTTTTTTGTCAATATTAGTTAAATTTCATATCTTATATTTGTTACTAATTTAGTTGTGCGAATGTTGAAGAAAACCTGGAAACAAGACCACAACTTGTGAGCAAAACTCAGCTTCTCGTGCAAGGGCTAATACCAAACCTTTAGTAAGTATTGACCCATTAGAAAATGATGGTTATGGTAACGCGGTCACCGATGACTCCTATGTCCAACGTTCGTCGAGCACATCGTAATTTGTCACACCGGACTATGTTTGATCACATACTAGCCTTCTTTTAAATATTCAACGTCATCAATTTCAAAATTCTACAGGTGAAATCCATTATAGGTTTGCAATGATATTTATTATTCAATATGTAGCACGGATTTGTTAATATTGTCATATTAATTTTCATTCGTATACATTGCAGGAAGGAACCAGTCATTCGACGTCTCAGTTAAACTCATCATATTTGGGTAATTAACGTCACATGAGGCAACAAATGTAATTACATGAATCCAAACAAAACTGGAATACATTTTAAATTGAACCCAAACTAATCACGACTAGTTTGTACATGCATATTCAATAATAACATACATACAATACAAAAATAAATCACAAGATCGAAACAAAATTGTTAAGATTCAAAATCCTCATCAAATTGAACACATAGTAAATCAGATGATCGATTAACTTATACCTGCAAATCCAATAATAACATACATAATGCAAAAAATCTAATAACAAGAATCAAAACAAAATTGTTCAGATTCACATATGATCCTCAAATTGAACCCAAAATAAATCAGACGATTTACTTGTACCTGCAAATCCAATAACAACATACATAATGCAAAAAATCTAATAACAAGAATCAAAAGAAAATTGTTCAAATTCAAATATGATCCTCAAACAA